GCCCAATGGGCAAAAAAAAAAAAAAAAAAAAAGAAAGAAAGAAAGAACAGAAAAGATAAAGCACCAGGAGGCCTTGTGTTTGTTCTCCCCTCCCTAGCCAGGGTGCATCCCAATCCTTGCTCTCTGGTACACTGTCCAGGGGATGACATCAGATCACGGAACAGCTGGCTAAACAAAGGAGCCAAGTGTCCTAGGAGGCGGGAGGCACTGGGCAGGCCAACCAAGCTGCCCTGCCCCAGCGGCCCTGAGGGTGGGCCTCTGACGGGCAGACAGACAGGCTGGAGCCAAATGGACACAAGGTTAGCACAAGGGTGTCCAGGGCAGGGGGAGCAGGTGGATCCGCAATGGTAATGGGGATCTCGATCGCCCTGTGTCCTGGGGCCCAGGCTGGGTGAGGTGCCTTCCCAGGCCACCTAGCAATCGGGCCCTGAACGGGAAGTCCGTTTAGCCTTTATTGTGCACCTAGTGGATGTCAGGTGGGCGGGGCCAGCAGTGACAGAGAGGAGAGACTCGGGCTTGGTTTCAAGAAAAGAAAAATGCGGGGAACCAGCAGTTAGCGTAATGGCTATGTCGCTGGACTCCCACGTAGTCGACCGCAGTTCGTGTCCCGGACCCGGTGGCTTAAAACTCACGCCGGGCGTGTGTGCGTGCGTGCCCAAGATCCCGAGAGGAGAATGGAGGAGAAGGGATTGCGGCGTGACCATCCCCCCTGGGGGGTGATTTCTCGCTTTCTGTCTCTATGTCTCTCTCTGTCTGTCTGACGAGCGCACACGCCCTACAGTGAAAATCTCTCAAAAGAAAAGAAAAATGCGGGACCAGCAGTTAGCGTAATGGCTATGTCGCTGGATTCCCACGTAGTCGACCGCGGTTCGAGTCCCGGACCCAGTGGCTTAAACTCACACCGGGCGCGTGTGCGTGCGTGCCCAAGATCCCGAGAGGAGAATGGAGGAGAAGGGATTGCGGCGTGGCCATCCCCTCTGGGGCGTGATTTCTCGCTTTCTATCTCTCTGTCTCTCTCTGTCTGTCTGGTGAGCGCACATGCCCTATAGCAGAAACCTCTCCAAAAAAAGAAAAAAAAAACTTTTAAAAAAGAGAAAAATGCCACGTATGTCAGAAATCAAAATTGATTCTAAAACACTCACTGCCCAAGTGCCCATGGCTTCTGAACCCCAAATCAGCCTCTGTGGGGTGCCCAGAGTATTTGGTCTATAAGCAACAAAAAACAACAATTGAAGGTCTAGGTCATTGAATCTGCAAAGCCGAGGAGGCTTCGTGTCCGGGAGCCTGTCCTTGCTGAGGGTGGCGGGCATAGCAGCCGCTCTACCAGGCTCTGCTTCCAAGGCTTCCTAGTTTCACCAGGTTAGTAGGGCTGCACGCCCCACTCTCTGTAAAGTGCTCTTACTGCATTCTGTCTCGCAGAAGAGGAAGTGGAGGCTCAGAGAAATAGAAGAGAAGTGGCAGAGCCCGGGTTCAGACCTCAGTGAGTCTGACTCTGCCAAGCTGGGTCTGAAGGTGACAAGGGCCATAGGCTGGCCAGGGAGTGAGAGGAGGCCTGAGCTAGGCTTTCCCAGAACCTCACACCTCCACCGGCCTGGGCCCTGCTGTCCTGGCCCAGCCACAGGGCTCAGGCCCATAGCTGTGGAGGTGTGTGTGTGACAAGATGGGTGACAGGAGCTGGCAAGCGGTCATTCATGCCCTCAGGCTCTATGGCCATGTGCTGTTTGTTGAGCACCTTGGGTGAGAAGCAGGCACAGCCAAATGCCCCCCAGCTCTGAGGACAGGGTGAGGAGTCAGTTCCCAGCCTCCCTGGTTACCTGACCTGAGCAGAGAGGAGCCATGGCCGCCACTCCAGCATCTCAGTGGCTAAGTTTTGTGCTCGGGGTTCTCCCAGCGGTGACTGATGAAACCCCAACTCCCCCGGTTCTCCTTTCTCAGGAGCCAGCTTGTCTTCCGTCTCTGCCCCCTGCCCTCCTCCCTATTGCAGGTGAGATGGGCTGGCCTGGCCTGGCCTGGATTCCCCCCTTGGGCTGAGGTCCAAGAATAGCTCAGGAAGTTTGCAGGGGAAAGGTGTCTCTTTGAGAGACAGGCCGCGGGGTGTGTTCTGGCCGCAGGGCTCTGGGGAGAGCAGCCATGAGCCTCCCTGAGGCCAGAGGCACTGCTGTCTGCATTCTCAGAACTGAGCCCCATGCCCTCAGGCATTTCCAGAGTCTTCCGGGCCTCAGCCTCACTCAGCGGTGCAGCTCACCTTGTCTCCTGCACCCTCTCACCTCTGAACTCTCCACCCGTGGCAGGGTCTGAACCTGCACCTCACCCACACGCGGTCATACTGGAGGAGAGCCCCACTCTCACCAGCCAAGGCTGGACCCAAGCCCTTCCTCTTGCCTTCATGCTCTCAGGCATGTCACCTCCCACTTTGGCCTCAACTTTCTCCTGCT